GTGGAGGAGCTGCTAGGGGCTAATGGTGTTTGTTTAATAACATTTGGTACCACAGAGAAAGAGTATTCACAACCACAATTGAACATTTTAATTTAGAATTGGGAAATGGGAAAAAACTTTGTTGCACTGTAGTAGTGGTTACATTTACTTTTATTACATTATTGCAGAGATGGAGTACTTGAGTCCTGGACTCGGACTTGAGTGCCGATTTTCGGGAAGTCTCGCGCACGATGACTCTGCCTCGGACTCATGAATTCTTCGCCCACGATGACCCGGACTCGACTTGTGCATTGACGCTCCGACTTGGACTCGGATTCTAGCAAGTTTTGTCTCGAGTCAGATGTACTCTGTCCTGGCGTGTGCACCTGCGAGGCGAGTTCACGTACTGGGCGCGCCCCCGCTATTCCAATCTAGAGATGTCTAGAGACACACCCCGCATCGTGCTGTATGCTTTCACACATTCTGCTTCCACATTGGAAAAGAGCAGCGCAAAATGCTCTATGTGGAAAAAAGATTGAAGAGAAGGCTCCGTAACACATTACTCTAAACATCGAGTTCAGACATTTAGGTGGTCTGTCTTGAATACTATCATCAGAGTAATGTGATCAAATCAATGAATAAAGATTCAGCCGATAACACGAAAGCCCATGGCTACTTAACATGCAGAATGTCGTCATTTTGCATGTTAAGTAGCCATGTGCTAAGTAGCCATGTGCTTTCTGGGGCTTAATCTTTATTGATATCATTTAAACATTCACTATAATAATTGTAGCCTCCCCGGCTGAATGATGGTCAGACTCTCCAACTGATGGTATCTGTTTATTGATCACCCTTGCTTGTATATAATCATTACCAACGTAAGAGCTTGTGCCCTTATCAGCCAGGTGCTAACAACCCAATGTAACTATTTAGTATATGTTAATTTATTCGTCAGCTATCCGTCATTATACATGTATGTCAAGTGTTTACACTGCTCCGTTGTCCATTAACTTCCGGTAAAAGTTCCTTCAAAATAAGAGTCCCGATCTTATTACTATCAAAATAAAAGTGCAAAACGAAAACTTTACCATAGAAAAAAATATTGGCATACAAATACAATCACTTCTCTAAAAGGTAACTCATTTTAAATATAGTTAGACATATTAAAAGGTCATTTACAATAATAATAATAATAATAATAATAATAATAATAATAATAATAATAATAATAATAATATTAATATTAGTAATAAGCTTTATATTTGTATAGCACCTTTTATACAAGAATTGTAGCCAAACTGGCTTCACAGCAGTTCAATAGACAAATTAGTATAAAATGACAGGATAAAAGCAATGTAGAGGAGCTACAGCTACATTTCAACAAATATATCCACTAAGATGAATACATTGTGACTCGGACTCGACTCGGCACTCCTTGGGTGACTCGGACTTGGACTCGAAAAGTGGGGACTCGAGAGTGACTTGGACTCGTGAATTGGTGACTTGACTTATTGTGTATGACTCCTCCTTAAGTTGTCCTTGGGCAGACACACACACCGTTCACGTATGTGCTCCTTTAGTTCAAATATACAGTAGTTGAAATTGCTCAAAACAAAGAGCACTCATGAATATAGCACACACAGTGTCATGCGTACAAACGTCATTTAGCATGACTTGGCCATATTAAGCCTGAGACCTCAATACAATTTCTACAGGGTAACTAGGCTCTACCATGAGAGCAGAAGCAGAGGGCCCCATCTCTGTTAAACATACACACACACACACACACACACACACACACACACACACACACACACACACACACACACACACACACACACACACACACACCCCTGCCTCTGTTGAACGTGTAAGCAGACATGTATTGCATGTGATTGTTGGGGAAATGGAGTGAAAAACAGGTCTGAGGTTGTGGGTTCAGGTTGCGGGTTTCAGAGTGACGAGATCCAGAAGCCAGCGGCGGTTGGTATTACCCTGCTGCTTCCTGCCCCGCTGGCCTGGGGAGGGGACGGGGGGATGGATGGAGCTTTAGAGGGGAAGGCCATGTAAAGCCAAGTGCCATGATACAGCCTGGCTCACAGAATCCTCTCGGCATGAATCGAGCCCACTGCTCCCACACGCCTACCATCGGGCCCTGCCCCCTGCCAGATCCCTCTGTGGTTTGTTTTACAACCTTGAACCACAGTTAGCCTTGAAACCCTTCGCTTTGTGATCAGGACCTCCAGAGATTTAACTTTTGCCCTTTTTCAACGTGACCTTTTACTTATTTACCCATTGGATCTGTTCAATATGTTTCTGTAACAGTCTTTTAATGTATTTCAAACAACACATTGTTTTTGTAATTCACTCTCAACTATCATGCAAGTTCTATATTCCAGGTATGGATGCTATTTGAAAGTTGTGTGCAACAAAAAAGTATATTCTTCTCTGGTAACATCTTGCCTCTATGGCATGCAGCAGCACCAGTGTGTGCATGAGCTCATTTGCTGTTTATCAGTATATACATGTGCATTAGCTAATGTGTGTATTAACTGGCATTATGCATGTGCCCAGAAGGTTCCTCTTTGAATCCCATTACCACTTCAGCACACGTTCCAAAATCTGCTACATGTTAAGCAATCAGTCCTCCCACACGTCTACTTAATAACACAAATCATGATTGATGCTCTGCCTAGCAAGTGCATAGAACCAAAGAATGCTAAACAGAGGAACATAACTTGCAATTAATTACCCATTTGTAAATGTGTCTGCATATCTCCTGTTCAAAGAAATTTAGAACATCATTTTTATTTTCTCTGTGATGAAGTACCAGTGAGTCTCTCTTTCCAAGTTCTGCATTCTTGTTCCATAACACTGCCATGCCTCCACAATTGTGTCTGATGTTTCCCACTGCAGGGTTTGAATTGGATGGAGGTTTTGACTTCGAGCCATAATAATGTTGGAAGGCAGCCCTCATATTTCAGCTCTGATGTGAAATCGGCCCAGTGGCTTTTCGGACTCAAATTGGGTTTAAATTGTGTCAGAAGAAGGAGAAATGTTTTTAAAATAATAGCCATGAATGCCGTGAAACTGAGCGTTCTTTCTGCAGAGCTTTTGATCCGTTTTTATAAATAGCAGAATTTTGTCGTAAAAAAATAATGTTTTTGTGGTCTTTTCCTGCAATTAAGATATGCTTGGCTCAGGAACAAGGGCAAACTAAGACTCTCCCGCTCTCTCTCTTTCTCCCCCCCTCTCCCTTCCCTCCCTCCTTGCCTTCCTCATCTGCAGAAGTATGTCATTTATGGCTTGTTATTTTCATTTTGGTCTATGTTTTACACATGGCAGTGGCAGGCAGATGTCTGATACTGTGAGACGGAGCAGGGTGTGTTCCACCTGCTTGCTCTGTATGTTTTCAGTGTGTCCGTGTATATGGTGGGCAGAGTAAGTGCCGTGCTTTCCCAAGGCATTCTCTTATTTCTTTTGGCCAAGCAGTGTGGTCTTCACATGACCAATCAAATATGTCAAACCACCAGTGTTTTCCCCCCACATGTACAACAAGAAAATCTGGCTTCAATTATTATTGCACCCCAAGGAGAACTTCCAAAATTCCTCCCCTCCTCATTTGTCAGAAATGAAGCTCTCCCGTTTCCTGCGATTGGCTGAAATATGTCTTTTGATATTAAATCACCACGGTTTCCACTGGCTGCATGAACAAGACAAATGTTTATCATATATATGTATGTCATTGTAGATGACCCCTCAGCTTAGCAATGCAGAGGCTTGGCTGCCGACTCCCATGTTATGTTGATTATGAGTAAGAGAGTCTCCTAAATAAGCTGAAGTAAAGAGATAATTTGGAAAGCATGTGAGGTAACTGCGGTTTGTTTAATGTGAAAAATACAGTTTGGGGTTGGGGAGGGTGATGGAGGTACAGTTACAAAAGCCCTAATGAATGTAGACTGACACATCCCACCCAAATCTTACGGGGTTCTTGGTTTGATTTTTATTATACTCTGTTGATAAATGCGGTTCCAAATGTTGATTAAGGATCTGTTTCACTTGTTTGTATGTCAACAAATCCAGCTCAATCCAGTTATACACCTCTGATCTTCCATTGCCATTGTTTTTCTACTTGGTGCTCATTGTCATAACATCACGCTCTGGTAGAGGCCTCTCCAGTGTGGCTAAGGGGGGAAACGCTATATGAAAATTGCCGTTGACGTTGCCGAAACAAATAAAACTACTCATGCTGCCGCTACATCTGTAGCCATTTTAAGCCCTTATTTATACCATTTAAGCTCTCATTTGAATTCACCAGCACAAATAAACATATCATAACGAATCGAAAGCCCTGATGTCATATGCAGATGTTACATTTTGATTATTCCTTCTGCTTCGTGAATGTATCAGGATCTCTCAAAGGCAAGATGACATCACTGTTTCTTGGCGACCGTATTTACTCTCCTGACTGTTGCAGTCCATGTACAGAGAGAGCGCTGCCCACTGCTGACATATCTCTACATCTCCTCCAGCCTCACACTGTTTGTGTATACTGTACAAGTTGTGTGGAGACAGAAATAGAAAGAATGAGGTAGTAAGAGACTCCAGACTACTGTGCCGTCCAGCCAAAGGTGTAAGAACTGTTTACTGCCAATGATAAGCTGGCATAAATCTGAATCTTTTAAGAGGCAAATGATTTCACCTGAGGCCCGTGGGGTTATTAAGTGAGGCCTGGCTGTACCAGAAACTTTGATTTAGTCATAAATCATCCTGAGAAGAGCTTGTTCTACTAAACCCTGTAGAGAGCCAGAGGGAGGAAGGAAGTCAGCAGAGATTCGGGTCTGCTGCCAGAACCTCTTACTGGTTCAGTAAACAGACTACCTGGTCCTCTCCTGGAGTCATCTCCATTGTAATTGCCCATATAAAATACTGCCGGAGACAATATGACCCTCACAACAATAAATAAAATCCCTGCATTATGTTGTCCGCCTGTTAGTGAGTTTTCCTTGTCTTCCCTGTAGACATGCACTGCACCTCGGCATACTGCGTGACCCGGGTTCAGAGGTGGAGGACCGGCAGTATCAGATGGACCTCCAGTCCATCAACATTGGAACGGCTCACTGGGAGCAACTGAAGCCGGAGAAGGAGGGGACCAAAGGAGGCGTGTCCGTAGAGAGTGAGAGGAGCTCCCAGAACCCGGCGCTGGAGTGGAACATGGCCAGCAGGTCAGGACTCTCCATATGTTATGTGAACACTTAAGGGGAAGGTGTTTGAATAATTCATTCAAGTATGTACAAATTGAACATTTGGTTTCTTCTTAATATAAAAAATAATATTTGATGCATTTCAAAAATAAATACAAATCTCGTTGCATCCACTGCCCAGCACAATACACCTGTGAACTAATGTGACCATTGCACCACAAAATCAATTCACCCGGCTTTACCTAAGATTCTTAAATAACTTTTGTTTTACTAGCATGCTTCCAGGATGATTGAATGATCAAAAAAAGCATGGTATGCAGAAAGATGGCCATTGAGATTCTCAGTCTATTTGGATGAAACTCTCAAAATGATCACAGCAAGTATAATTCACATTTCTGCTAGAAATCTAATTGTTACTCCCCTATCAGGTGCTGTGTGTGTGTTCTGAATGTATCTCATCAGTCTTGATGTAGGAGCAGCATGTAGTTATTGAGTTAGCGCCCTATCATGGAGTCTCTCCATGCACAGTCATAATTACAAACCCTGTCATTTTTTATAGACTCGGGAGCTAAAACAAGCACAAGTGTAACAGCCTGTTTGGCCCACATCCTTTTTTTCCACTCATGTTTTCAGAGGGAACAGGCCCAAAAATCACAGGCAAAGACTCCAGATTTGTTCCCTATCAACTAAAAATAACCTTATGGAAGAACGCAGTGCAGAGCCAACAGAGGCCTGATGGAGACCTCAGGTCATCAGAGCGTACACTGAAAAACCAGAACGTTGACTTTATTTAAATGTATTATCAACATTTCACATAACTGTATTAGGTTAGTTAAAAACAATACAATTAAGTTGAACCTACTTAAACTTAAAATGTTAGCTTTCAACTAACCTAATACAGATATGTGACATTTGTTGACATAATACCTTTAATTCAACTTTGTCCGTGTAGACACACTCAAGCACATGCACTCTCCAATGCACATGCACACAAACAATCCAATACCTGATGTTTTATTAACTGTAAGTTTAACACATAATAATAGTGGATCATTTCAAACAAACTGCAGGCTGCTGGGGAACCTGAAATCTCAGACCGGCCGTTCCACTTAAGATCAGATCATTGCACAGAGTGTAAGACAATGAAATGCAGTTAGCATCTTACCAGGAGTGCAGAACAAGTAGTTAAGTGCAGAGTGATGTCTAGTATAATGTAAATATATACATCTGGCAGATATAAACAAAAGTATATACACTTTGAAAACTACAAGAAGGTTAAACATCATAACCAGCAGTATAGAAATGAATACACTATAGATGAGGTACAAACAATACACATTATAATACAGAGTTCAGCCAGGTGAGAGCACCTGTTGCAAGCCGTCTCTCTCTCCTCCCTCATTTCCTTCCAGCTTCCTGTGAACACTATCTAACTAAGGCAAAACAATGTCACCTCTTTCAGGTTTAACAAAATCGTCTTTTTTGAGACCGAGTTAGGTAAATGCCAATTAATGCTTAGGTTCTGACTATACCTGATTTAAACCTAAATATAAAATGAAGGCAAACGTAATATCTCTCCAATTTCCGATTAACTATTTTATGTTTAGACTTGAATAACTTGAATACTTTAATAATTCCAGTCCATAACACTATGACAATCGTGTGGATCTGTCAGATGCTACCTAGTAGACCACCCTGATTTATTTGTACTCTCCCTCTCCCCAGTAGTTTTGACCATCTATCCCAAAGTAGTAGTTTTTCTTGATCTTCCTTTTCCGGGGTCTGTTGTGTTATAGCCCTTTAAAACCTGTTAAGCCCGGTTGCCCCCGCCCAGACGCAACATCTTGCAAGAAACAGCGTCTCAGGGCTTCTTAACATTTAACAACCTATTAATGATGCATACCCACTTAACGGGAAGAAACTCAGCTAACTGACGATATGAACCATTTTTACCTAAACGGAACACAAAACTCGCTGAACTAGCAGCCAGGAAAGAGCAAGAAAACAACTTCCGGTTTCAGAGCCATAACAATAAATATGTCTTACCTTTGCTGTTTTGTGATCAAGCGTTGTGTTCAAGGGCATAAAAACGCTGCTGAAGGTTAATCCAATGTCTCTGTGTCACTTTGAAATGATTACTGATAATCCATCATTCCTTTATCGGCAATAAACGTGGAATTATGAACTGCCCCTCGATTCTATTGGCTCAAAATGTTACAAAGAGGTGTCAATCACCCAATTGGACCAATGGGTTCCAGAATTACGGCCCCGCGTAATGCATAGGTCTGACTGGCAGCTCGCGAGCCATTACGCATGTGGCCAAAAAGGGCAGTTGTATTTGGATGGAATGAATACCTATAGTGATATTCAATGAAATAAAACGAGTTTTACAGTGTGGTACCTGAGAAAAGTCAAATGGCACTGATGGTAACCAAATGTACCCAAAGGTGAGTCCGCCTGGACCCACCTGTGACAAAATATTCTTTAAAAATTAAAGTTTCACTAAATTAGCATCTATCTTGACACAGGGTACTTATGATATATTGTGGTTTGGATCCCTAAAGGTGTTGGGCTCCTATCCCATCATTCAAGGGTGGTTTTCACTATAAATAATAAATCATTTTAGGAGATTAGAATTTATATTTTTTTACTATGTTCCATCTGAATTGACTCTGACACAGCAACATCTAAATTGATTCTGACACTTCTACAGCCAACTCACAGGTGTATCATTGCTTTGATAACAAATATTATTCATATACCACTGTTAGAAGTGAAGATATAGTCATTCATTCTGGGCATGTCATTTTCGAGCCTGAGGCCTGAAAAATAGGCCCAGGGCTTAAATGGTTAAACCTGGACCTACATCAGAGTTTTATTACTGAGTCTGCATGCTCATTTGAGCACAGGGCTACTGAGATTCAATCCCCTCGCAATCTTTATTTTTCTCTCTCACTTTGTCTCTCTGTCGATGAAAACAGGGCCAGATTGTCTGACAGGGCAATGAGGGGAGATGTTGGGCTCACCAAGATGCTAAATGCCTTTTGAGTAGACTCATGTTTCTCAAGACATTCTATACAAACTGCTGGTCTGGAAATGTATTCAGAATCTGATTAAAGGATGATCTAACATGTATTATTTTACTCAAAGGATGAAACACAGTATTATACTCAGTGGCGGCCGGTCCATAGGGGCGCTAGGGGCGCCGCCCCACCTCTTCCCATATTGAAAAAAATAAAAATAAATAATAATTAAAATTAAAATAAAAAAAAAAAAATATGTTTAAAAAAATATATATGTTTTTATTTTTATTTTTAATGAACAAGGTAAATATTATATAATTGGTATCAGTAAAATGTATAATCTACAATAAAATCTCGTTTAAAATTGTGTTACGATGTCTAAAGTTACTGATAAATCACATGTTTCCTGCCTGGCCTTGCCCATGCACCTTCTCTCGTCTGGGCGCTAAGAGAGGAGCCTTCAACCAGTGCAGCAGCAGCCACCAGCAGCTGACTGTTGCTATCTGTAACGTGTAAACTATGCCGCGAAAATATAATTTCAGCCAATCAGCGTCGTCAAAGATGACGGTCACCGGGCGCCAATGTCAGCGCCCAGTGCAGTCTGTGAGTAGTTTGGACAGTGACTCGTATCCGGTTGACGCAGTAGTTGATGAGGATGGCTTCGTGTGCAGGTGGAGTCTCCGGACCTCGGTCCGCGCCTAATTCTGTTCAAGAGCTAATCTCCAATCCTTTCGAAAGGAGAAGTTTGGCAGATAAATTGTTGCTTAAAGACCTTGCACCGGACCAACCCGATTTGAATATATCGCAGCAATCTCGTGAAAAAGACAACATTTATACACGAGGCTTCACAAGTAGCTGGTACACAAGAAAGGCTTGGCTAGCTGGATGCAAACAGGTAAATGCTGTCTTTTGTTTCCCATGCTTGGATATCACTTTATATGTAGAGAGGAGGTTTCCCATGGTTGTTAGAAGTTTATTAATAAGTGGGCATTTATCACAGAAGTGATTGTTCTGTCTCCACGTTTGTTGCATTGTCTGTGATGTATTTTCCAACGGTTATAGCTCCTGTTCTGTCCCAGCAACACTACACGGTTTGCAGCTCCACCACATTTTTGGTTTATCTTCGGTGTCGCTTAAAATCTGCTTCCCATCGGACTAAAACCTCCACGTAATCTGAAGACAGATACTTGAAGTTATTTAAACCTTTTGCAAACTTTATGTTCTTTCTTGCTCTAGCCTTGCCAGTTACATTGTACATAACACATATATTATCATTATGCTAACTGGTTGTTCGTGTTAGACGATGTAGCTTTTTCATTTCTGAGTTATTGCTATATGTAAATAAGCCTGTTTGTAAATAATCCTCAGAGAAACAAAGAAAAAAACACAATTTATGACATTTTGTGCTGTGGTTATTTTTTTTAAATTGCATTTATTCACAGTTCAGTTTGAAATGCTGTAGTGACTTGTATTGAACCACTTAAATATTTATAATTAATGCTACTGAAAAGATGCTATTAATTTTATATCTCACATGCAGTTCACTGTAAAGCTACTTGGTGAAGGTGTTTTAAGAAAGAAAAAAACAGACCAGTTCTGAGAACACAAATTCCTGGTAAAGTAGTAGATGTTCAGGTTGATAAATAATATTTTCCACACTGAAGATTATGGAGGTATTGATCAGTCTTCTCATATTTTTAAGCCTCGATTTCTCCTTTCCCCCCCCCCTCTAACATCACCAGAAGTCATCATTTAAGGGGTCATTTCTCGGACCCCCCGGGTAGGTCACTTACGGTACGTCAAGAGCCCCACCAAAAAAAAAGACCACCGGCCGCCACTGATTATACTGTAACAAAGGTCACTTTTAGATTGAGCTTCATCTCTTCTCATTTGCATATAGCTAATTATCTTGGTTCACAACAATAAGTAAGCTTCTGTGTTGTCAAGTTTAGAAGGTCAAGTTACAGTTTCACTTTTAATTTCCAAATATATCATTTAAGGTTGCTTTGCTTGCTTCCTCGTTCCCCTTTCTCCTGGCAGAGACAGGAACACTGGAAGAATGTGGTCTTTATCGTACTCCCGCATGCTGTACTGTACACCTCAGCCACCACCTCGACCCAGTCATAACTGAACATGTGATTTAGAATATTCCAAAAGACTGAGGACAGGCGAATCAAGTTCACAGCTTTACTTGTCTGCTGCAATGAGCCACAGAAATACACCACCTCTCTTTAAACAAGTTTTGACACACACCACTTCAAAAGTTCACACCTTTCCCTCATTCCCAACATCGATACCCCCAGCTCTCTCTCCAGTTTTGGATTAGTGGCATGTTCACTCTGCTGTTTTTGGGTTCAATTCCAGTAGTTGCAGATCTGCAGTGGCCTCACTTGGCTTCCTGAGGTTTTGCGGGGAAATTCCTGCACTATGGATCCACTGAGAGGATCTGTCCTCATCACAGTGTGGAGTTGCCGGCTAGGAAAGACCTGTGTCATGGAGCTCTGATCTGTGTCCCTCCATTGTCCATGCCACAGATATCTCCACTGACTGTTCACACTGTAGCTTTGTGTGAAAACGAAGTCATTCTGAAGGTGCACACACACACAGACACACAGATCTCCCAGTCAGAGGACCCCACATTGCTGGTAAGCCGAGCCTCACGCCTCTGAGCTGTGCTGGTGAATGATAGCACCTGTCCCCTGCAACGGGACACTCATTGTTTCAATTCCTGTCTGAGGGGAGATTAGCAAACACCAATTGCCCTCAGAGTTCATTTCACCTCTGAATTAGGCCTCCTTCAACTCTGCGCAGAGAAATGTGTCCGAAAATAATCCCTTAAGGGCACTGGTAATGCACATTTGAGTTTGCAGAAGTGAATATGATATTGGTTCTGCTTAAGAACTGTACTGTAGGCCACCTAGAAACAGATCCTTTTATAATCCTAGCCAACTATAAATAATGGAAACTGTACCACTTGATTGTTTTAATAGCAGCAGATGTGGCAATTAACACCACTTTATAAAGCCCCCTTGTATATTTGTTTAACTACTAACAAATGTTCCCACAAATATGAGTTGATTGTGGGAATGAACATTAGTGAAATGGAGAGAGTTGATGTGAGAATGCCTATATTTGATGTTGTGTATACAGTGAAGGGGTGTTCCTGAGTGAGACTTGTCAAAAACGTCTCACTCTTTCTCTGTAACCATATTCAAACTTCCAGCTCAAATGTGTTATACCAACATTTAGAGAGATTACTTATGGGAATAATTCACATGTCTGGCCTGCAGGACAAAATCAATTTAGATTTGATATCCTACTGGTTTGAATTTAAAAAGCCAGAGCAAGTTTGAAATATGTGTCTGCCTGTCAGCTAAGAGCAAAACAAAATCTCAGTTTTGAACATTTGTGGTTTTGACTGTCGTGTTCCTCTGCAGATGGGACAGTGTTACACATATTTCACAACTGGTAACCATAACAAGTCATTAGTAAATAAAGGTTTTTTGGAACGTTAGTGAATAAGTGTTCTATTATGGTTGCAGTTTGTATTGTAGTGTGAAGCTATAATCACTCACCTGAAGTCATTATTAGTTTTCTTTTTACTAACTTTTTCATTTAAGTTTCAACAACTTCAAACAATATTTTTTTCTGTGTCTATATTGTTTATAAATACTTTCAAAATCCATTTAAAAAAAAGTTTGAATAAATGTTATATTACTTTAAAAGTGTAAAACATTGGTACACATGGGGAAAGCAAGTAATGAATACATACCTTTTTTACTTCGTTTTTATTTCAGTTCCAGCACACGTGTTCACAATATTGCCTTCTGTTTTTCTTTTTCGTTTTCCCTCAGCAAATCCACACAGCTTAAACAACAAATATGGATAAATGATCTAATAGATAAACAAAGGGGGTGATTTTTTTATGATTATGTATTTAAATGAAAACGTCTATTGAGATGCTGTGAGGGACATGTATTGTATGTACCTGCTTGAAAGTATATATTTCCAATTAAAGAACCTTGACTGCAGTAATCATCTCCAAATGTTCAAATCCAACCAGTATTTGACCTTATTTATAAGAGAATATGAGCAGCAACATATAAGTTCTGTAAACTCCACAGTGTGATGCTGTTTGTCTCTGTTCAGTATCAGGAGGCACCAGGAGAGGCGGGCCATTCTGACACCCATCCTGACGGACTTCTCTGTCCGGGTGACCGCTGCCCCAGCCATCATCTTCAGCAAGAATATTTCCCCTGACTGCGGTCAGGCAGAGGTCAGTCCATTCCACACCGTTCTTTTTACACATCCAGCGTTACATCTTTCTTTCAAAAGTATCTACATTTTCTGGAGAGTGCAGTCACCTGTGCTGTTGCAAGCTCGTTCAAACGGTCAAATGTAATGTATGTTTTACATGAGCCAGTAGGCATTTGCTTAAAAAAGTCACTCCCAGTGAGTCAGATGTGGCATATTTTTCTTTTCCTTCAATGCCACCTACTTTGACATTGAATGCCCTTTGACACCGACCTGTTATAGCCATGATTGAAACTATTACTCTCTCAATCCGTTGTCCATATGAAAATAGACATTAATTATGTGACATGTCAGAAGTATTTACATTGTTCCCCAACATACAGTAACTTACTCATTAGGAGTCCCTCCGCTGGTCTGCTGTGTAATGGAGGCTTTTGACCCACAGAGTTCAAACCTTTCTGCTTATACAGCTGATGTTTTCTGGCACGGCTCTCTGAGACTTCCTGCCTCTTTGATGCCTCGTCCATGCTCACGCACCCCCTGACAATGCGTAACAGCTAATCCATAGTTTGCACTGACACACAAGCACACACACACAGTGTGATTTTATAACTCCCTGAGATATTGAGACTCAGAGCCAATAAAAACACAAACAGGACTCTGAACCTCATGGCTATATCAATTACAACTATGTTTTAATACAATGTAAAAGAAAAATCCTTTGAACTGTAATCAAACTATGTCTGCCATCAGCTATCTTTATTGAATTATTAATTTATACTTTAAAATCTAAAGTGCTTTGTATTTTCTTCATTTATACTGTCAAGTCTACATTTATTCACCATTGCAACATATTCTGTAACTATTGTTCTAATCTTTTAATATTATGACTTTCCATATTCAAATGACTGCTACTAAAACGTACTGATAGAATGATCATAAGGGTTATACATGTAAGAGGTTGTAGACATTTCAATGAGAAAACCCTGACAGAAATGGTGATATTAATGACACATAAATCAAACAGTGGGTCTGAACAGAGGATGTTCAGTAGTTGCCAAAGACCACTGTGTGTCGTTACTGTAGGTCTGGCCCATGTGTGTGGTTGAACCGGGGGTGTTAGTGAGTTATATCCTGTTAGATGTAGCCTCCAGGCTGAGGTCTGAACTGCTGGCTGTGGGTGGGACCCTGCAGAGGAAAGGTGAATAGGTTAAGGAGGGAACAACCAAGCTAAAGGAAGCAAAATAGGAGGCAAATAGACCAAGAGAATAAAAGTTGAAAACGAGAGAAAAGAGAAAAGTGCACGAGGTCACAAACAATCCTGATGTGTTATTGCAAGACTTTCCTGCTCACTCCTTCCACGTCCTTCTTTTCATTTCCCCCTGTCCTATCTCCTTCATCTCTGTAGGAGGTAGTGGTGTGTGGCCACTCTCTGGAGGTAAATGTGACCAGCAGTCTGGATTTCTACCTCAGCGTGGCCCAGGTGCAGCTCCTCCAGCAGCTCCTCACAGAAAACATGGTGGGGATGGACACTCCTGAGAAAAGTGCTGAGGTACGTCAACAACAACAATCAAGTTAGTCCTCTCAATCCTTCAGTGTGTCGGAAATATATCATATATGAACTGTGCTTTACCCAGAAACACACATGCAACAGTTCAAATAGTGCTAGTTGTATTTCTTTGCTCACATTTGATGCTCTCTCTTGCTGATGATTGTCATCTTGTGAATCTTCATGAAGTACCACAGTTTAACATGAATCCATGTACAAATCTCTACACGAGGCTTTGCAAGTTTAGCTCAAAGAAACATCCCCACTTATATCCCGATACAGTGCCCCTCACTATTTTGGATGGCTGTAAAACATTTAAATATTTACTCACTCTGAGTAAGGCGGTTATCTCATGTGACCTTAGTTTACTGTGCTGTACTCAGCTGCAGCTTTCAGGGCACTTCCTATTGTTTACAGGATAGGGAGCTCCAAGGCGCCATTTGCCCCGTCTGAGCGCTTAATAAAGCGTTCTAATGGAACACAATATAACAATATTTACCAGCTGTGGTGAGATGGGAGTCGTAGAGGAGGGAAGGGGACAGGGGAGAGAAGAAGGGGGAGTGGAGTTAGATTAAGTCAGAGGTGATTTACTTTTATCTTTTCTTGGGATTCTTTTGGAGAGGATGTATGTGCTGACGTGCAGCGAATGCGTCAGATGACTCAGACCTTGTAGAGGCTTTCATAAAGTAATGTAGTCGGATTTGTTGGAAAATGTGTTTTTCCAACACAAAAACAGGGATCGCTTTTTGTTTCTGCTGACATTATGAATGCGCTTTATCAATTCATAGTGACAATACAAGCAGCATTACTATTGCTTTCTGTTCATTCACAGAGCAAACCTTGAAGCAAAACAAAATGTAAATCAACTCTTACAATCAAGTCAATTGTGTTTGTCAGATTTGTAAGTGCAACACTGTATAAACTAATGAGAGAAGACATCGTTTTAAGTTAGCGGGCTTCTTTATTTATTCATTTATTTAGTTGTTTATACAGTTAGTCCTAAGGAGGTGCTAGCGGTGCATCTGGTTTTCATTTGGGTGATCTCGGAGCCCTCACCCCTGACTTGTAGTGATTCATGGCTTGATTCTGTTGAGGGGCAGCTAACGGCTGCAGAGGGTTCATCCAGGTTCAAGTCAGTTCAGAAAGCTGCTATTCTGGGAGGTCCATTGGCAAAGGTTAGAGAAATTCGAAATCCACGCACACAAAAAAAGATTCAGCTTTACTCTATGAATGTATTTATTTATTTTTTACCTTTATTTCTCAACGCAGTGTAAACTGAGCAACAACTACCAACACCTACACCACAACCAAACCCTTCCTGTGGGATTACACTTTTTCTGTGCATTTGTGCTGAGCAACTCAAACCTGAAGAGCTGGGGATTACTGGTATTGCTCAACGGCACTGTGACAGTAGCTGCTAAGTGTTATGTTTTTTTCCCAGCCATGTTTCCTAGTTAATCCAGAGATTGGAACAGTCACATTTTTGTTCCGAAATCCAAATCTAACCGCTGTGTTATTGTTACCTTCAGCTGGATTGAGTGAAATTTAAATGACCCACGGGTACAGAGTGATGTAATATAATGATCATCCATCTACTATTGAACAATGTCGAATATATGCTTGGGAAAATTCCTCAGCTTTCCTTTAATATTTCCTTTTTGTCACAGTTGTTGGAAACTCTCACTTTTATTATACCATATTAATTTCAGGTGCACTGTACCATGTTTTTTACCCATTCTGTTTTATAGTAGTGCCATAATGGAGCACAACAGTATCATTAACACTGAGGTCAGTCAGTGTGTGTCTTCACCTCTGTGCAGCTGCAGAGCATGGAGCTTTTCCTGGATAAATGTGCTTTTGCTTTGACTTTTTGGACACTCACTGTAAAACTATTTGAACCTCCATCTATCTCGGTGTCGTAAGTCTTTTGGCGGCTGCGTGTGTCCGGCTGCTTGGCCAGGCCCACAGAAGGGGGGGCAGTGTGACTAACCAATGATCAGAGGCTCATTCTATGAGCTGCAGAGCCCTCTGGTGGTGACTTTAACTACAGACCCCAGCTCTGGAGGGCTGCTTCACTTCACTCGCAGTGTGCTCTGCCTGCAGCCTGTCTCCCCCCGCCAACACATTAGACACACCACAATCAAATAATATCAGTAATATGTGCATTGACATTGTTTGGAGTATGAATCTGGAACAGGTAAAGGTTTTAAATGTAGTGAGAATAGACTAACTTGATATAATAAACCAGATGGCTGTCCGCCCCCTGCTAACAGCTTACAAATAATAATCATACAACTCAGATGTATTTCCATTCCCAGTTTCCACAAGATCATAATCTGGATTTGGTGCATGTATCTGTCTTTCTTCTTCTTTTCTTTCTGAATTCAAACCCAACTTCTATAATGATATTTATAATATTTGACAGCTTTGTTTGTACTTCCTTTATACAACCTGTTCAAAGGATTCAATTAAAAGCAGATCCTGGATCTGTGGTGCAGGGGAATTCTTTTTGTTGTTGTGCTTCAGTAAAGCCTCCCCGCTCTCAGGCAGCTCTGTCCCCAGCAATGGTTCAAATGAAACACTGTTCTTACTCACTCTCTATTATGGCCACATCTTTTCCTCTCTTTTTTATTTGGATTTGTTTCTTTCTTAGACAATTTGAGAACTTTCTGTTTGCCCTGAACAGATTCGGTAGCACTTTACAATAAGACTACCCTTATAAAGGGTTTACGAATAGTTTGTAATTCATTTTTTAATTAGGTTGTGAACACTTTATAAATCATTAATACGCTTTTATAAGACATGAGATAAACAGGGCAACTGTGACCGGTTGCTTGCCAAATAGTGAGCCCACATTTATTTGTACTGCTAAGTCTTATTAGAAACGGTAGTAACTCATTAATAAATGGGAATGTGTTTCACACTTTACAAGGCTCCCTTTTGGCAGTTATAAATGTTAGTAACTCATAAATAAATGGTCATAAAGAGATGCCAAGAAACATCAAGATGGATGGGGGGGGAATCAACTCAGTGAACAACAGATACCAAGGAAGCTGGCTGATGAAGAAGACGAAGTAAGCTAGGTAGCCAATATAAGGCTTAGTCATCTTGCCAAATAGTGAGCCTGTGTTGATGTATGAAAACTATGTTAGAACTGGTTTATAAATGGTTCTTAATGATTAATAAAGTGTTTACAACCTAATTAATAACCTAATTATAAACCCTTTATGAATCCTTTATAAGGGTAGTCTTATTGTAAAGTGGCAGATTCTCCCTGATCCTGGACATGGATTTCAAACAGTTCCCCTCGCCCCTCACAGCTGTGTTTTATTGTCTGGGTTAATGAATTTGTTTTGTTGGGGCTTTTGGTTCCCTGGCAGTGCTAAGAGGAGCCAGGCGCGTGGGCAATATGTGTGAGCCTTGTGTGAATTTCTGACATTTATAGTCTATAAGCTGTTTTTAAAAGAGAATCTAGCCACTCTCATACACACTTTTATTATTACACTCGAATACGTACATGCAGACGCTATCCAACATTTTAATTTTCTCATAATCATTATGTGTCGTTGTGCATTGCTTTAATCAACATTCAGATGCAAAGCAATGGCAACATGATTTCTAAGCCATCCAAAGGCAGATTTGTTGCTCTTTGTGTCAAAGCATTATTGGATGTTTATCGCAGCATTAGCCACAGTCCGTCACAGTTTGACTTCTCCTCTGTGTTTAAGCTTGATGTTAATGATGATAAAGTAAGGCTGGGTTGAGATCAGGCAGCTTTCAGCAGCAGGAGGTCCCACAGTCAGGGAGCTATGAATAGATGATAGGGCGGCTTCTGGGACTTATCTCACCGCTCTGTCATCGGCACTGTCACCCAGCAACACACAAATGTATACCCTCACACACACATGTGCCTACACATGCAAACACATGGTCCCCACATTGTCTGCATTGTATCTGCCTGCGGCCTGTGATTTGCCAGTACTGTAATACTGCTTATTGCCTGAACAGCTGACCTGTGTGTTTTTGTTAGTTTGAGTTATGTGTGTCAGATCTACAATTGACATTATTTGAGAAGTTATAGACCTTGTGTGAAAGTGTGCACGTCTTCATCTTTCCCGGCAGCTCCTCCTTCCAGGCCTTCACCACTTCTTTCTCCACAGAAAGAACACAAATCAAATGGTTTATTTGATACCTCAATGCCATCCATTCCCTTTGAGTAGATGTTATAGTGTAACCTCTCATCATTGGCATCGCTGTCTGGCTGTCATGCTGATGCCACAATGACAAGCTCCCAAAGTATTTTAGTAATGTCCCAACAAACTGGTTAAAATCCAGAATAGAACTTTTAAAATATGACTTCCCTGGTCCCATGTTACTATGTCCCTGTCCCTCACAGGCAGAGGCAGCCCGGGTCAGCCATGTGCTTGTACCACAGTGAGAGAAAAATACCCTCTGGTGCAGGGGAAGTCCCGCCCGGCTTCATCCTCCACCTCATCCTGGGATGATTACACGCATGGGAAACATGGCTTTAGACTTCCTCCAAACTTCATGCACACACACACACACACACACACACACACACACACACACACACACACACACACACACACACACACACACACACACACACACACACACACACACACACACACACACACACCACACACCACACACACACACACACACTGATGCCAGTGCACACACCCACACTCAGGAGAAGGTATCAGGCCTCACAGGAACCTCTGGATTAGAGTTTTTAGTAAACACACATGGGGGAAACCTCTCAATCACCTGCCTTATCTCTGTTCCTCCTCTCCCCTTCTTTTTCTTTCCTTCTATTCCCTTCCTTTGTGAATCAATGGCCACACATGTTGGCACTGTGAGGCTATACTTCTATATCTACCACCTTTATCTGTACCTCTCAATCACCTGCATCATCCAACTCATCTGTTATTCCTCTTTCCTCTCACTCTCCTTAAGTGTCCTTGTCTTGTTCCTCTCAT